GTGTGTGTGTGTGTGTGTGTGTGTGTGTGGCGTTGGAGCAGTTGGCTTTAGGCAGCTCTTGGCTCTCGGAGTGTGATATTTTACTGAATTCAATGCTGTGAATTTTCGTCTCTGTTTCTCCCACATACAAAAACATTGCAGGAGATGGAGATGTGTTCTAGTTTTAGTTTCACGCTCTGTCTCTCAGCGTTTCTCACTGCAGCACAGAAAAGCAGAACATTTTGCTTTTGTTGTTGTGTTTTCCCTGAGTGCTCCTTGCATGAGAATTGTTCGCAGTGCTGGTGGGTAAGTGTTTCTTCTGTCTCCCCCACTCGTCTTTGTTTAAAGCAGCCTTGTTTTCCTCAGGTAAAGACAGGGACAGATGGAGAGGGAGGGAAAGAGGAGGAGGAGATTTCAAAATGCAGAGCAGAAGAACAACATCTTCCAATCCCATCCCTCCCTCTCTTTCTCCTCCTCCTCCTCCACCACGGCCTCCTCTTCGCTCACGTCGTAAATCCAAGTCACCTTCGTCCCGCTCCAGCCACGCCGCTCCAAAACGAGCTTTGGATTTGGATAAAATTGGCTCCAAGCCTGACCCAGAAGACCCCAGGCAGAACCGCAGAGGTTCCCGAGACCAACGGGGCTCCCAGGGCTCAGAGCTGGACAGGAAGTGGGAGGGTGTGGCCCTGGAGCTGCGTCACCGTGGCGGCAGGATGAGGTCAGCAGTGTATCAGACGTCAGACTTGCCCTCCATGGTCAAAGCCAAGAGACAGTTGGAGCAGAGTGAGGGCAGAGGGCAGGCGGACCGCAGTAAACTGAAAGCGACGTTTGTTTGAGGAGGAGGAAACGTGTGCGGCGTGCTGATGTGCTGATGAGCTCTCAGTGACCACGCTGACCGTCTCTGCAGCAGCTGAAACTCTGTCTGGTTCAAAGTTGAGGCAAAGTGTCAACAACTGTGCAGCTGCTGCCACGCTTCCTACTGAGGGCTGCTGCTGGCAGGCCGACATCAATCAAACGCTTCGTCTCAGTTCAGCACCAGCTCATTCTGAGAAGTTCTGTGCAGTGGAAGAACCTTGACACAAGTACTGTATTACTTCACTGCTCTGTACCACTACTCCACTACATTCCACAGGACATATCTTTTCTATACACTCCACAACATGTATCTGACAAAGATGATCCAGTTCAATCATGAATTATTTTGGATGAATTTGCACAGTAGACTTAAACATTAACTTGACCAACTGCAAAATTAAAAACATTTTTTTACATTTGAATACATCAATAAAAATTACAATATAGTAATAATACAGTATAATAGAGTATTGACATTATTGAGGGATATTTTACAGATGACACTGTTCACTCAAGTGAATTGTTGTATTAATGGACTTTCACTTGTAACAGTAATTTTCAAATTATGTCAGTGCTACTTTTAATAATAATAACAAACTTTAAGGATATAGCATCTTTAAAAACACAGATACAAGGATACGTTTTAAAAACGAATAGGACAAGATTTAAAAAAAGCTATTTGTAGATCACACGTCGTAAGAGCACAGATACAAAATCAGAAAATGTTACAGGTGAGAAAAGAGTAAAAACAAGACAAAATAAAACATGAAATGATTAAAGTACTTTCACTAAAGTGCAGGATCTAAGTATGACATCATCCAAATGCGTCCACACACTCAGCAGTATTAACTATGACGAGTTAACTTGTCTTTGTGTGTGAACTCTGTGGACCTGAGGACAAACTGTAGCAGTATTAGAACAAGTTGAAGTTTCATATGTCTACCACATGAATTATAATTCAGTGTTAATGTTCTGTCATTTTTACAGCTCTAAAAAAGTCTTTTTGAGAAAAGTTTTTTGTTGTTTGTTCTCCTGGCACTGAATCGTCTCCTTAATGAAAAATTCACCTTGAATCCAAGAAACAGAGTGTGTGCCCACGAATGTCTAAAAGCGCTGGAGGTAATACCTCATTACCCAAAACATTATTTATGAATCAAGGGAAGCAGCAGGAGGATTTCCTGCATATTACACTGGACGTTGTTGCTGTGAGACATCAATGAATCACTGCCCAGTAAAAACTATAGCACAAATCCATGTTCACGCAATAAAGTATTTTCTTGAATAACTACATTATAATCATTTTGTTGTTGTCCTTTGATTGGCAGAATTCAATTCAGTGTTGTTGGTATAGCACCAAATCACAATATGCGACATCTCAAGATAATTTCGAGACCCTACAACATGAAGCCACTTTTCCAGTGGTCAGAACCCCACTAACATGTGTTTTTCTCTGCAATGGAAATGGATACAATCAACATTCAGTCCAGGATCAAATGACTCTGCTGTAGACACAGGATTGTATCGGCTCTGACTTCGATCCACAGTGATATAAACTTGACACTGCGGTGAACGCTCTAATTTGGCAAGACAGCAGGTGACAGCATGGCACACTGGGGAAAAAAACTGAAAATCAAACTCCTACTGGGAATAGGAAAGGAGTCAATCGCCTCTGTTACTCACGTTTGAAAAACCAGCCTATAACCACTAACTTCCATGTAAAATAGGAACAGTTTCTACTAAAGGAAAACACTTTGTGACTGTGGAGAGAAAAACTCTCTCACCTGGTAGATACTTCTGACAGAACCAGACACAATGTGGGCGGCATCTGCCTCCACGGCTGGGGTGAGTGGTAAGAATGGGAGAAGAGAGGGAGAGAGAGAGAGAGAGAGAGACCAGTCATAAAATCTGTCAGACTGGTTGTAATAATAAAAATAGTATGAGTGACATCAGATGAAATGTTGTTAACAATGATGGCAGCATCAGTTATACTACTACTAATAATTAGTTCTTAATGCAGCCTTCATTTACAGGCTGTGTTTCCACGGACAGAGCGGAGGCTCCTCTGATTAGTACTAAATCTTTATGAATCCTGTCTGACACCCAGCTCGCAGCTCCAGCTCAGTGAAAGGTGCGCCAGTTATGCGCTTTTAATCGAATTAGCTCGGCTGTAAACAACATAAGCTCCGGACGCGGGATGACAACTGTACTAAGTTGGCAGGACCCCGCGGGGGAGGCGGCTGTCTCTGCCCGCCCCGGTGGTCTCACTGTCGGGGAGTGAGAGAGCGGTGCCGGAGGGGCCTGAGCTATGGAGGGCTATTTTGAAATGTGCACCCCCACCCTCACTCTCTCTCTCTCTCTCCATTACACACACACACACACACACACACACCTGCTCGGAACCATGACAGAAGATGACGGATACAGTTGTCGCGGAGGGACAAGTCAAGTTTAGAGACGGAAAAAAGGTGAATTCCACCATTTTCTCTCTTGTTTTAAACTTGGAAACATCTTGCCACAGTCTGTCCAGAGGAACATGTTGTGATTGAATGTTTCTGCTGAACTTCTCCACAGTGGAAGACTCGCTGGGTCGTGATTCGGAAGCCCTCTCCGGTCGCAGGTATACGTGCCAAACCTTTCCTGCTTTTTTCGAATCAGTTCTCATCGTGTTTAAATTGTCATCTGTGCTCATCTTCTCAACGGTGCAAACGTGGATTCATTCATTTGTGACGGTCAGCGTTAATCTCCTGCTCATTTCTAGCTGTTCAACTAATTACAAAGTGTCAATTAAGCTCCTGGCTGTGCGCCACGGGAGCGCGTAATAGCGCCAGAACACTTTACGCAGCTGAACGGATCGACTGAATGAAAGTAAACCTGAGTTCATAATCACCTTTAAAGGCTGCAGACAAAACGTGCGTGTTGTCTGTTGTCCCCTTTCAAATTAAGAGTCTGGATGTTTAATGCTGAGGGGTTTTCAGTGCCACTTTGGTTGAAGGTTAATTATTTGAAAAACCTCAAACTAAGCTCATGAACTGTGACAACGTCAGAGTTGAATAAAGTTTCCTTCATTAAACAAGATTTGTGGAGGAAGAGAACTGCTCGTCTCTAAATCTGAATTGAGTTTCACTTGAGATGATGTGATGTGAGGAATGAGTCTCAGAATACATGAACATATGGCTCATGCTGTTGGCTACTGCTTCTGTGTGTGTCCTTGGAGAAACTGTGATGGGAATAATCAAGTATTCTAGTGTGTGTGTGTGTGTGTGTGTGTGTGTGTGTGTGTGTGTGTGTGTGTGTGTGCCCAGGTATGAATCATGTTGTGGGGACCCAAATCTGTTTACACAGTCACATTATAGGGACTTGTCAAGTCTGCATAATGTAAATAATTTCATTTGAAGACATATTTTAAGGTTCAATTTAGGTCTAGATTTAGGTTAAGGTAAGGGCAGAGGTTTAGATTAAGGTAAGGTCTAGGGTTAGGGTTAGGTTTAAGTTTAGGTTTGGTATGGAAGTTTCCAGGAAATCAATGTAAGTCAACTTAATATCCTCTGAAGTCATGGAGCCATGGAGCGACTGTGTGTGTGTGTGTGTATTTGCGGCTTGACTTTCATCATCAGCTGTGCCAGTGGATCATTGTTATAGGGTTTGTTATTATGACAGCTGTGCCATAAACGCTGGCAATCACACAGGAAGGATTACCCAAAAAAGTGACACTTGTTATTCCACATTCTCCTATTAATCACAAAATGGACTTTTAAGCCTGTCAGTTTTTACAGCTCATCGCTCATGTGTTTGTCCGTCTCAGACTGTCTGTCGCTGCTCGTGTACAAGGAGAAGAAGAAGGGGAAGGCCAGCGGCCACAAGGAGAGGCTCAATGTGACGCTGGAGGTATGTTCAGCTGCAGCGCACCAAAGGCTCACTGCCTCTAATCTCTTGCTCGGGCACTGGTGGAAGTTATTTTTTCAGCTCTGTAGTGGCGCTGCGTCTCATACTACACATGAGGCTTTCTACTGTTGTCGTTAGACTGTGGGTGTGTGGGGGGGCAACATTTGTTAGCTGCAATGTGAATTAGCTCTTGTAACCAGTACTTTGATATGTGAGACTATGAACAGTTCCAAACGAACAAAGATCAGGGGCCACAATTTGCACATAGGGGCAAATTATATGTCCAAAACCCACGCACACTTCCTGATTCAGTGAGTTGCACATTTAAGTTATTCCTTGTTTAATGTTTTCTCTACAGCTTTGATTCAAAACCACTCATCACTGAATATATTTTGAAAATTGTATCTTGTTCAAGCACATTGTGTTCCTCAAAAATGCTTAGAAACAACAATTCTTAACAAGCTGTCATATTTATTGTTTGTCTTATTCGTAAGTGACAAGGACAGGGGCCCTTCAGGGGCCAGTCAGATTTCAGCTGGGGCCAGTACCCCCCTGAAACATTCATGAGTCCAACTTTCTTTCCACAGAGCTCAGTCTGATATCTGAGAGAACCTTGTGTTGTTGTCCTTCAGTTTCAGTTTGTCTTCCTGGGGCTGGAAAACGATCCACACGCCTGACATCAGAATTTAATGTGGGTCAAATCCACCCGACCTCAATTTAGGATGACAAGATGTTTTTGGTAAAAAAATAAAATCTTCTCCTTCAGGGGATCTGCGGAGTAGAGCCGGGGCCCGGCTATGACGGTGTGTCCTACACTCTCACCATCCTCTGCCTGGCGAGGGCGCTGGTCCTGGGCTTCAACAGCAGAGACGCCCTGCTGGCCTGGGACGCCCATGTCCGCTACAGCCTGGGAGAAGGTGAGTGCTATGATATTGTGTGGATGTTGCAAAGCTGAGAAACTGTTCCAAGGATGTTATGTGCAAAGGATTAATGTGCTGGTTCACTAGAATGGTACTTATTATAGTGCATACCTCCTCCAAGGCCCAACTGTTTAGATTCACTAGATCTGGATTTTTATTTGAAACTGCATCAGTCCCCTAAACATGTCGGCTTTATTTCATTGAGATCCATGAATTCTTCTATGAAAATGTAGAAAACTGCTCCATGTCTTCCAGAAATTCCCTGACCTAAAATATAATAATAATATACTTCCACAAAGTTCTGTAGTGCTTATGTAACCCTGCTAAATATCTGACAAACAAATGTCAATGAAAATATAACCTCTGTGAAGGAGGGAGACTTTAATCCTAATTTGATTTGATCAGGTTAGTCTGTGTGTCTGCAGCATGTGTCAGCAGGGATCCCAGAGAACTGTATAACCAGCAGCATCGGGACCAGCAACCTGCTCAGTGAGAGCCATTTCATTGATGGAATGATTGACTCAAATTAAATATTTAAAATATTAATCCAATCAAGGGAAAGTTTAATGCAATTAAATATTTCTTGAGTGAAATCAGTCCCCCTCCTCAGGGTGGTCTGTATTATGACACCTGTAATTTCTGACTAGGCTATTAACCTCATTTAAAACACTGAGTGGTTGTAAATGAGTGAATAGAATATAGATAAGATTACACTTGTTTTATTTTACACTTCATTGGTTCTAAATCAGAGCAGAGCATGAGTCTGGAGACTTGACAATTCTCAGCACGCACTCCAGATTTAATGGACTCAGTGTTATTAATCAATAAATAAGCATGTCTTCCCCTGTGATAAGTGGATATGATGATCTTGCTGTAGTAGATTATTACTTTCTCAGCTATAAACTGTAATTAGAAGCTTTTAAGTGATCAGGTAAATATTCTCAAATGTAACGTGATTGGCTTGTTGATCATCCACTGACTCTTGTGAAGCTGATGTAGGAGCCAGTGAAGGTCACTGTTGGCGATCAGATCAGAGAAATGACACAGATACAATCTGTAATGTTTCTCAATCTGCTGTTTCCACATCACAACCTTTATGTCAGTGGAAAGAGGTGATCTGAGGGGAACAGGAGGAAATATGAGGTTTACACATTAAACACTGACTCACATTCTATATAAAGTGAAGTTTGGAGATTTCAAAGACTAATGCAAGATTTTTTAAAAATGAATTAATGTCCTACAATATTAAGGACCTTATTTATTATCGTGTTAGTTTTCTGTTGCTCTTGAGATTTCTCCTGCACAGGAAGAAAGTTTGGAAGAGCTGTTTAAAAAGTTCAGTGTAATCTTTCATCTGAACTTTTAAACCTACCCACGTCAAATAGCACAGCCTTGAAGATATCACAAATATCTACCTGTCCAAAGCTCCTCACTAGTCTCATCGTGAAATGGTCTCAACCAACATGAGTCTTATTTGAACAGCCTGAGCCTAATTTCAGTGGCTGTAGTCATTTCTTATGCAGCTTTGGACAGTAATGTCAGTAGTTCTCAACAGGTGATTCTTCGTCCTCCTCCAAAAATCCTTTATTTTCAAGGCTCCATCCTTTCTCTTAATTATATTACCCACAAACATTCTGTTTCTCCATCTCTGTGAATATATCGTGCAATCTTATCTCCCCTCAGAACATTTTATCAGTTTAACAATAACTGTTCCACAGCACACTGGATCATTTAAATTTCAGTTTCAGGTGAACTATTTCAAACTTTAACGTGACTTATTCTTCTTTACACATGATGTGCTTCATGATCGATGATATTTGAGTTGTCTTCAAGACACACACACACACACACACACACACACACACACACACACACACACACACACACACACACACACACACACACACTCTCATTCCCATCTCTCTCTCTTTCAGTCCACAGATTCAGTGTCAACGTTGAACCTGGTACCAAACTGGAAAGTGGTCCCGCCTCCCTCCACCTGTGCAACAACCTATTGGTCCTCACTAGAGGTCTCCCTCCTGTCGTCATTGGCCACTGGAAGTTGTCGGCGTTGCGGCGCTATGGTGCTGTGCCTAATGGCTTCGTGTTTGAGGGGGGGACTCGCTGTGGATACTGTGAGTTACTGATGGATTCCTTTTTATTTTCTTACTGTGTGATGTTACATAAACAGTCTGAAACCATCAAGGCAACAATTTGACAAATGCAGTTGAAGATGACAATATGTGCAGTACCTGACTGTTTTGTTGTGATGTGAGTTGTTCAGATTCAAGGAGCTTATTTGAACTATAGCTCTCAGTATTTACCAAAGGCAGCAGACATGTTGGATTTTTGAAAAGTGGATTTTTGAAAGTGGAATACAAAAATGTTGGTTTGCTTACTCAATGAAGAATCAGGCTACTTGCTTGTTTCCTGTATGAAACGAAGGCTACAAATATCCTCATACATCTTCTCTCAGGGTTATAGGAATCTAAGTAACTCAAGTAGAAGCTGCAGGTTGAAGGACACAACAGAAGGGATAAGTAATCCACCAGCCACCAGAGACTGAGGTTCAATGTAAAACTAACCGAGGATGAAATAACTCAGAACTTACTGGTCCAGAAACTTGACCTGTGCGATACACAGTCACTGCAGCAAAGTCGTCTAAAGGCCACTTTCCAACACGGCTGGAAGAAACATTCAGACTCTTTACTCGAGTAAAAGTAATAGAGAAACACTTTCTGATGAAGTAAAGTATCAAATAGATAGATAGATAGATAGATAGATAGATAGATAGATAGATAGATAGATAGATAGATACTGTAGATAGATTGATTGTAATGGTGACAGTCTGGCAGCCTAGTGACATGGTTAATCCGTCAATCACACTCATTTTGTCATATCTGAGAGGAGATGTATAGTCGAATGGGGATGAAAGACCTCCTCAGTCTGTCTGAACATAGTCCTCTGTCACTGTGCTGTGCAGGGGGTGGTCCATGATGTCCAGCAGTTTGTTTAGGGTTCTTCTTTAATCAGCAGCAAAATTTATTTTTAAATATCAAAGTAATAGTTCTGGTTTGGCCCTTGTGACTGCTTTGTATTATATAATATTATATACGATGTGTACTGTTGTAGCTGCTGGAGGTTAAAACTACACATTCAGAGATAGCAGATACATCTTAGGGGTCATGGGATGATTGATGAGAGATCATTTATTAATATGTGAGTTATTGCAGGCGTTTGTACAGTGACTGTCTCCATGTAAGAGACGACTTTCTATGTATGAACCCTGTATGTATGCCCACCAAATAATACTGCACGTGTGTGTGACAGGGTTGAGGTATCTTCTGAATGTCCAGCTGATGCCGACATGAATGCAAAGAATGAGACACAGTTTATGTTTTGGAGTGTGAGTGTGTGTGTGTATGTGTGTGCGTGTGTGTTTAATGGGACACCTTTGTACGTTATCTGGCATTTATTTAATAACTAACCTGCCCATGGCAGCTGTAGCTATGGTTTTAAGGAACATAGGAAATATTCGGTGTCAGTTCTCCTTTATAGTACATAATATATTTCATACGATACTACATCCTCACTAAAAGCTTTAGAGATGTACCAGTGTTCAGAGAAAGTTTATGAGTTCCTGTGTGTGTGTGTGTGTGTGTGTGTGTGTGTGTGTGTGTGTGTGTGCCCAAGCAGACACATGGCTCCTACAGGAATAACCATGAGGTCCAGAGGCTCTGGTTTCACTGCTCTGGTGAGCCGCATCTATAAATACCAGCCTCCCCCTGTAGTGGCCACTCAGCCAATCATGAAGTAGCTGATGGCTACATGGCCAATTGCAGTCTTCTCACTCACCTCATCTGGATATTACCCAGCAGCCACAGGGGCAATAGAGTGAGGCCCTCTTGGCATGGCTGCATGAAACGGAGAGTGACAGAAAGAGAGATGCGAGAGTCATATTGGCAAGTGACATTCCTTGCATGAGTGCAAGGTAAAGCGGAGTGTTAGTTTACATTTTTACATGTTTATTTGTATTTGTTGAACACGTATGACACATGACACCCCCATGCTGTCATTTTAGTCACCCACAGCACTCTTTCTGTTGAGCATCAACAAACAAACTTTGAGTCCATTTTGTGTCAGCCATTCGTACACTCGAACACACACCAACTCATTTTCCTGTTGGCACTGATTTGGTTTTTCCGTTTACCACAGGGCCGGTCAGCCAACAACAACAATAGTGAAATCCATTCAAGCGTAGCCTTTTCGATTTTGGCTTCTCACCCTGTTTTTTTATAATGGGCTTTTGCAGCTAACATTTTCATATGTGCAAGCAGGAAAGCACTAGAGTAAATAATAGCTTTAGTAATGGCTACTTTCCATTTAGCTCTGCAATTTGTATTGACTTTTATTATGCATACTGGCTCATCGTCAGGCCAACAGAGTCATTATTAATGTGGACAGATCCACAAGTGATTCTCCTCATATGAGTTAAAATATCAATTTTGAGGGTTATTATGTTTTTTTGTGGTCAGCAAAAAGGCTAATGGATATTAACCCTAGAAAATGACTCATATAATCCTGATTATTTTTTTGGGCTGCAACCAGTGATGTTGTCATCATTGATTTTTGAAAGTATCACATATGTAAGATAGATAAACCCTGCAAACAGATTAGAATAACCCACACACTGATGTGTTTAAAGTGAACAAACCCGAGCAAAGGCAATCTGTCTGCTCTAACAACACTCATGCGTTAACATCATGGTTAACATGCTTGAAAAGTACAAAGCTGCAGAGCATGTGTGTAGCCGAGTGTCAGAGCATGAAGAGGGCAAGATGTGCAAATGCACACTGCAGAATAATTATAACAGTAGAGCTTTGTACTTTAAAACACCCGCTCAGCTGCCTAATTTCCCATGAGGCCTTTTTATTTGACCAAATCGCAGAGCAGACCTTTTCACCCTGCACTGATGCACTGCTCTCTGCTGCAGCTGCACTGTGAAAGCTGGACGATTCAGTTTCTGGCTGCAGGTTTGATGAGAAGATCTATAGCATAGTATAGTCAGTGATATCAGTGATATCAGTGATATCAGTGCTCCTGCTGTCATTCCATGTGATAATTATGCCATCAGCCTCTGCAATTGAGGCTTGGAGCAGAGCCTGGGTCTTAGCTGGATGGATATTTTCTGGCTTATCAGGTGTTGGACACACACACACACACACACACACACACACACACACACACACACACACACACACACACACACACACACTGCAGACACAGTAATAAATGATCCTCTGCAGCGTTCGGATGGCTGTCAGTGCCATGTGATCCAGATAAAAGCAATTTAAGCTGACATGCAATGTCAGCTATCTTTCAGTGATCCACTATGAGCATGAACGCACACATCACATTGTGGTACCCAACTGTGCAAGTGTATGTGTGACAGTGTTTCTCTTGGGTGCTTTTTACGATGCTGAAACGTGTCATGTTTGACAACATTTTATCCAGATTCTCTGTCAGTACAAATTAAAATGCAAACTCAGCAACTTTCGTCTGACATCAAGGTGTGAATATTTCACAGAGGGCTAAATGTCTCTGACCTTTAAGACAGAATAGAGATCCTCCCAACTCTGATTCATGACCTCCATATATGTCATTGATTATAAGTGCGGTATGTTGTTAAGTAGTTTATTCAGATATAGGCCTGGGCCGATAATCAATAAATCAATTAATCGCACGATAAATTAAAATGAACTCGATAATTTTGCCGGCCTCGATATATCGCCATGTGCACGCGTGTTTGTTCCCCTCGTCTCTCGCCTCCAAGCAGGCCGGATGACAAGAGGGTTCACTCTGTGCTCGGTCTCAGCACCTGGGAGCGTTTGTTGCGGAATGAACGGAGTGAACCCTCTTGTCAGTCATCCAGCCTCTTTGTCTCTGTGGGGGGAGGCGGGGCCGCTAGCATTAGCCACACATGCTACACGCACAGAGTGCAGTGAATGAGCATCGTGCGGAGCACCGCGAGGAGGAAAGATGATTGTAAAGTCAAACGCCACAGCCCCGGTGTGGGAATGTTTCGGCTCCAAGCCGAATGAGCAAGGTGAGCCCGTCAACACGGACGAGCCAGTTCAAAAGTGGTGGCAACAAAAAAAGGCAGCACAACAAAGTTGCATGCCACCTGAAGCACAACCACCCGACCCAGTGTTCCCAGCTGGGAAACATGTGCAGCTCGAGATGCAGAGCCTTCGTCCCGACAGTCAACACTCACTGAGGCGTTCGGTCGACAAAGTCAATATAAACGGAACAGCGCAAAATGGTGTGCGCTCATTGAAAGTGAAGTTCGCTACATCGCTAAAGGTAAAAAACACTGAGAAATAAAAGTTTATTGTCTTTGAAAGGGTGTGCATTACTATGATGTATTATCATGTTGACAATAATATCGTTTATCGGCAATAATTCGTATGACAATATATCGTCCAGCAAAATGTATTATCGTCCCAGGCCTATTCAGATGTTACCTGTTAACTCTTATTAAGGGCTGGTGCACACCATGGATTCGATTTGAGACCCAACTCACCCCTTCCAACAATCACAGGGACATTCCCGACTAAAGGCCTATCTGCCCAAAAATACCTCAGCCTCTGGAATCGCTACTATGAAATCCTACAAACAGCAAGTGTTTCGTCTTACGATCTGGCCAAGTCATCAAGCGTGTGCTTTCAGACATTAAGCAATGTCTCCTTTACATTGCTTAATGTCTGAAAGCAGGAGTTGAAGGTAAAAACTCAGATAAATATAGGTCACAAGTGGTCAGAAAGTTGGAATGTAAGCTGTAATCTGACTGAAAAGCTGTTTCTTTCTATCATCAGTACAATGTGCAACTGCTTCAATGGTTAAGAAAATAAGACCTGAGTCCACCATATTTATGAGAAATAAATGAAGCCCATCAATTTGGTGTTCATGGCAAATAAAAAAGCAGTATGACAGAGGCTTCTGAGAGGGTTTTAAAATGCCAGAACATGCCTCGTTTGTTTAAAAGGTCACACTGACAGTTCCCCATAAAGACTAAGAAATTATACCAAAAATGAAAGTGAAGGAAAAAAGCTTCACAAGACCTCTGATGATGTTTGTTGACACCAGATAAAAAGTAAAGAGTGGAAAAAGCTACAGTCTTGATAGATAACAGAGTAAAGCCTCGAGCATATAGCCTTCTGCCTCAGGAGTTGGTGGAGACTAAAAACAAAACTAAAAGAACGTGAACTGATAAACAGCATTCCACTGACTCAAGGAAGTATCGTAAAACATCCATTACATTAAAGCTCAGTGAGGATTCAAGCCAGACCTCTGAAAGAAAAAAGCCCTGAATACGCACGTAGTTCAAGGAAGTAATTAAAATGTTCAATGGAAGTGATTTAATATTCACTGATGTTAACTGAAGCATCATGTGTTGTTGTGTTAGCCTTTGGATTACTCTTCACAATTTTTCTATTAAATATAACCTCAAGCTGTTTTCAGACATCTGCGGAGGACCTCCAGAGAATTGGGTACCTTGTCATTAAATTGGATTAAATTGGAACTTTCTCAGCAGTTTCACATCTGCACAAAGTAGTGCGAGATTCGCTGCCCTTTCATTTATGTGTCTGTCATGCTAGAAGCATCAGGAAGCATCAGCAATCATTTCTAGTGAATCCAGCGGGGGTTGTCCAGCTGTGTTCTCACATCCACTCCTCTGGACTTATACTAGGAGGCCAGATGGAGGTGTTTCCGTTCACATATCCGCAGAAACTGTGGAGGAGCTGTGGGGCTGAGTGCACATCTGAAAGCATCTATATAGTAAATAAACAACTGCTGCACTTTTTCAATGCTTAAATAAAACTTCAAACTTGTTACTTCAATTTCACATTCAAACAAAACTTTTTGCTGACCGGCATTACCGACCAGCTTTTCTGCTCCTCAGCTGTTTTTCTCTTTGTCTATCAGCTAACTCAGTTCCATAAGAACAAAGATGATTTTACCAAAGCCCTGAGTAAGGCCTGACATCGTGGCTGTCTTTTCAATGTCTCCATGTGACATTTTGACGTTTCATTCGTTTTATTTTTTTTTTGCAGGTCTTGTGTTTTTCACAGACTTCTACCTCTGTGTGGGCTTAATAGGCGAGATAGTGGTGAATTGATAGATGTCTTATGTAACCCTTAGAAGAAAAGGTTGCTGCTGACTCAAAGAACATCCAAGCCTTTACAGCTGCCTTCAGAGCCTCGATGAATATCTTTTGACCTTATGCAAAAAATATATTTTACTCCATATTTCACCTTTTACTACTGAGTTTTTCTTACTTCTACCATCACACTGTTTACGTAATTTTATGACGAGTTGCTTTTTAACTTATTTTAACTGAGCTTAACTTTTATATTTTCTTCCTATAACTTTATTTGTCTCTGTGTTCATCTTTACAGTGTTTCTCTCTCTCCTTGTCCATCTTCCAGGGGCAGGAGTTTTCTTCTTGTCCTGTTCAGAAGGAGAGCAGATCAGTTTCCTGTTTGACTGCATCGTCAGCGGTGTCACCCCCAGTAGAGCCCCGCATGGCCTCAGACCTTCCCTGCCAGGTGAACACTCACACACACACACACACACACACACACACACACACACACA